AAAAATGCTTTGTTACAGTAAACATTTTCAACTAATAATAAATAGTTCTATTTTTAAATATTGAGATAAATTATTTAATAAGTCAATACTAAAATTTATTATTTAAATTTTACTATTAAATTATTATTTTATAAAAATTATTTTATAGGATTAATTTTTGTAATACAATTTTGTATCACTTGAGATTTTGCTATTAAAATCACCCTACAGGACATTGTTATACTAATTTTTAGAAAATTCAATTTTTAAAAGAAAAATTGTTTTTATATTTATTTTTTTAAAAAAAAATATATTTACTATGGTATTTATTATTAAATAGCTCCCATTTAATCACACATTCAAATAATAGTTAAAGTTAAAAATTTTGAATTTTATAAAAGTCTGAAACTTTTTTACTTTAAGATAATAATGTCGATCATTTCTAAATTCTAATTTTAGATTTTTCAACTGATATTAAACAAAAAATGAGAAATTTTTTGACGGTCTTATTGCTTACTTTGTTAATAAGATAATCAACCATAAAGATTTAACCAAATAAAATTCATATATCATAATAATATAAATCAAAAATCTCAATTTTGGTTAGTAAAGTCCTGTAAGGTAATTTTAATAGCTTAGCTCCTATATAATGAGTCTACGTGATAGTGATATTTAATTATGATTGTTAACTTTTATAGTTACATTAACTTCAGATATTTATGTGAGAATTTAGATCTTTTGGGATCATAATCATGATATATGATGATCGTCCTCTAATTGTTACTAAGAAAATTATATTAAACTAATGCAATAATGTTATCAAGTACTTATGTTATATAGATGAATGATATAAAAGAAGAAATTAAATAAATAACATACTCTTGAGTAAGTTTTATTGAGTATAAGTGTATGTACTTTTGAGCATTTAAGTATAAATCTATCTTTAATGTATTTTATATACATATCTTTTTAATGCAAAAGTATACATTCTTTATTAATTTATTTAAACTGTAATTAACAATATATATTTTTATAAGAAGAATATGTCAAAATATCCCCAAATAAAAAACTAAAAATATTGGGACATTGTTATCTAAAGTTCGTTAGTTTAGGAATTATTTTAGAAATTTTTAATCAAACCAAATTATCCTTTAGCCAATCTGGCAAATATGATATACCTTTTGGATAATTGAATTTTAATAATAAAATGGTGGGTTTCATAAAGAATTGTGCATAATTATAATATAATAATTTTTAATTTTTATTTGTATTAAGTATCTAATTAAACTTCCATAAAAGTCAAATTTAAAATTTTTTATATTTTATAAGTTTGTTATATAATAATAAATGTTAGTTTCAACTATTTTGAATACAAAATATTTATATGCGTGGAAATTGTAAGCGAACATTTATTTCAATGTAGGCAAATTTAAAACTTTTGAAAATCATCTGTGAAAACACGATGTACATATTTCACTTAGATTCTTATAATTTATAGGATTTATATAACTAGATAACGAATATTTTAATCGATTAAAGATTTTAGACCAGTTCTAACCTCTATTATAAATTATTAACATTAAACTTGTAATTTAAAATTTGCAAAATAAAATAAAAAATTCGATTCAGCAGCAACTCATATACTTATTTTATTTCAATTATTTCTGTTTTTTAATAAAAAAATTTTTATTTTTTAATATATTATTACACATACGATAGTTAATTAATCATGCAATCTAGTTTAAATTATTTAATTTTTATGTAAATTAACATCAATGATGATTGGTATAGTAGTAACAATGCATAATATGATACAAAAAATGGCATGTTTCGGGTTCAGCTGCTACTGTACTTAATTTCAAATTTTTTTTTATTATTCATTCATCCTGTGATCTGACAATTTCCCCCTTTTTTTACAAAAAATATTTTTATAATTCAGGTTAGTTTTTATTATTCTTTTAACCAAATTTTCTATAAAAAAAAATAATAATAATAAAAATAAGCTTCAAAAGGTTTTATAAAAATACATTCTATTTTAATAAACTGATTAACTTTAATGTGTCATTTTAAGATTATATTTTTAACAAGTTTATTTTAAGTCTTTAAAATAAAGTAACGTTTTTATAATATTTTACGCATAAAATAACCCTTATTTTAAAATATTTGACTTCTTTATTGCAAAAGTCTTTGCTTATACCAAAAAAACAAAAAATTGCAAATGACTATCGAAGAAAGGATATAAGTTATAATAACAAGCTATTACAACTAAAAAAAGTATTGACAATAACAATTGATAGGCCACTATGTATTAACAGAAAGATAAACGTACTCTTGTATGACATATAATGAATATGTTCTCCATCTCTAAAGAAGTCTAAAAGTTATTATGAGTATATAAAAAATTAGAAGTAAGTTTGAATACTTGTCGTCAAGTTCTTAAAATGAATGGCTGTTCAAAAGTGAATCAAATCTTTATATCTGACAGAAGTAAGAAATTATGAAAATACATGATGCAACAACTCTAAGAAAATCAAAGTAACATTTGTAGTAGTCGTTTGATAAGTAGAGTATTTTCATTTGTAGTGTTCTACTTTTCAAGGAGTGGATACATTTACTATATCAATGGAGGAAGCTTTATTGGCGACAAATATTAAAATTACTATGATCTAACCTACAAAATACTCTTTAACAATAGAACAAAAGGAAAGCTCTGAAGTTTCGACAGATATTAAAATTGAAACTAATTTTAACGTTTTGCTAAATTTCTTTTTAAAGACAAAGTCGCAAAAGTTCGATGAGTAACAAAATCTATAAAAACCTTTGATATGCAAATGAGATTTTCAATCACTCCTTAAAATAACATTCTCTCATTCACATTTTATATATCCTTTTTTGAAATCCCAAATCTCTGGTCTAGGTCAAAAATTAATCACAAATCAAACTGTTAAAATGTGTTAAATCTTGCAAATTTAGTTAATTTAAAATTGTGAATCAAATTTATCGAAACTGTGTCAAAACCATTTAAACTATTTTCAATAAGATTCAACTTTTGTTAAAATGATTAAGGTTTTATCTGCAACCTTGTTCCGTGAAACTATTACAAAAATATTTTTTTTTGGCCTAGGATCTTAATCAGAAGACCTTTGGAACTATATATTCAGGCAACTTAATAGATCAGTTACACATTTACAAGAGGAATTAGAAAATACTTATCAATTAATACATTTCGTAATGTTGCCAAATATTAGAAATTCTATTATAGCAATAGCTCCTTACTATCCTGCAATGGTCAGAATAGCTAATGTTTTACGAAATAAAAGGTGTCTAAATAAGAAGAAAGTGATAAATTATGATATATAGAATAGATTTAAAAATGATAAATAATTAAACATTACCTGAGAGGGTAAGAGTTATTCAAGTTGATGATTATTATATGAGGTTCTTTTCATGTTTCACATTCTCCACTTTATTTGAATGTTTGAAATCTCGTTGCATCTTAGTGATTGATGAAAAGAGAATTTATTATCTGTGTCAACCAAACGTTCTGATTCAGGATGCATTTCAATCCTAGAGACTAAAGATCTATGCCAAAATATAAGTATCTCATGCCTGGATTATAAAGCTTGCTGCCCCAGCCTGAAATAAAAAAAATTATGTGTTACTGAATGGTTATCTATATATAAATAAACTTAAATGATATTAATAAAGACATTTTTTTTGAAAATAAAAAAAATAAGGGAAAAGAACTGCCTGAAGCCATTAATATCCAAAAGCCACTATCATCTGAATTAAAAGCTACATGAACGAGAGTCTTGTTACCAAACACAACTGAAGATAATGGAATTAAGATAAATAAATGGCTTATATACTCACAGATACAAAAGAAATTTGGGAAGGAGGATTTCTAAAGGGTATAATCCTTATGGAAGTTGGAAATTATCTTTTAAGCTCATTAAGGATGTTTTGAAGTCATGTTACCAAATAAATTATTATGACATGCAATTCCAATATGAAAATTTTAAGAGGATGAGCTTTCAAATATTTTAACAACATTTTATAGAAAGGTGCATCATATAATATAGATTTGGATTGTAATCAGATAATAAAATATATGGAACGTTATAACATGCTGACTCGAAATAAGGATTATTTACTTCAGCTTCTGATGTTTTTTATTTTAGTATAATTATGGCAGTAATATCAATTAGCAATGCAGAAATATATCCTCCATATCTAATTGTGAAAGAGCCGGGCAAATTATAAAATCATTGGCACCAATTCAGATAGATTAGCAGGAAGACTTCTTTTTTAGTTAGATTCAAAAATGAAACCCAAGATGTCAGAATAGAATAGATGCCAGACCAGGACGTTAGGACAAAATGATCAAAGCTTGGAATTTTCAAATAGTTTATATTTAATTTATTGTAAAAGTAATATCTGGCGTAATAAATTAAATTATGACAGTTAATAAAGTATGTACCGAATGGAGTATATAGTATTTAATTACGGTACGATATTATATAAAAGGCAAGGTACAATAAATTATTTACATACCAATATAGCGAATAATTAACTCTATATTTTTGGGTACGTTTGAGACTTTTTTGATCGTACCTGCATTCACAATAATTCATCATCAAATATTTTCATATATAATGAGTATTTTGATCAGAAAATTTTTTTTTTGTTTTCTCTTTATTGATTTTTTTCATTATTATTATTTTTATATAACTATGTCTACATTATCCGAATATATTATTGAAATTAAACTGGGAATTAGATGGTCACTATTCATTAAAGATGTTAAGAGGTCCTTAACCAGTCCTTACGATTTAAGAGATTACTATCTCTAGAGAAGTCTAATCACTTATCTATAATAAGTAATCCCATCAAAAAATGTCATAAATATTTTATAATAAATTTGTAAAAGAAATTTAGATGGGACCACTAAGTATAATTAAGTTTAATAATAAATTTGTAAAAATAATTTTTTGGGTCTTTTAGGACCGCTTAATAACCTACTATTCAGACACAGCTGCCACCACACCATCAAGGAGATTTCCCTTGCGATTTAAAATGAAAATAATTTCATTTTTGGGACACGATGTAGCCAGTCGTGCTTGACAACGTGAATGGTACGGACCTAAGATGACAAGTCGACGTCAACTAAGTAAGTATACTTACGTGATGATATCGGTAAAATTATGCTGCTGACTTCCCTGGATGTGCTAGCTTTTCTCAGTAGTGTCATGTCCTAACGCCCTGTTACCTGTAAACACGGTTTCATTTGCAAAAATCTTAAGGACATAGTAAGAATCTGGGATTTTCAGTATGTAAACATGAACTTGTTAGAACTCGGAATCGCCTGAACAAGAACAAAATCCAATAAAACTCACCTAGATGTTATATCCCCTAAGCTAGTACAATACTCAATAAAGCTTACTTTGTTTGTATTTTAAGAAGAAAACAAAATGCCAATATGGACGACTAAAAATAAATATTGATTTTTTGATTAAAAAAATAAAATGGTTGTTGAGAGAAGTAGACTTTATATCACGTAGAAAATCAATCTTTACATGTTTAATGGGAAGATGCAATGAAACTATAATGTGATGAGTAATTTAAAAAATTATATAAATACTAAGTCTAAGGTATAATTGCACCACGTGAGCCATGACTTTCAGCGAAAATTCTCAGTGATCAAATATAAATATTTTATGATTCAGTTTATAACCATTATGTTCATCTGGTCACGGACATATGAACTCCCTGAATGTGAAATGGCAAACTTGCAGTTATTGTAAATTGTCAAGAAATATCAAATATTTTAAAGAATGCGAAGAAAAATGTATGAAAACGACAATAAAGAATTCTCTTTTTTTTGTATTTAAAAAAATAACAACGCAACGAAAATGTAATAAAAAAAAAAAAGCTTAAAATTCAGCAGTCAAAACTTTCACGTTATAATATAATATAATATCCGTTTTCTTTATTGTAAATCGAAAACGAATGCAAAGCTAATAGGCCAAATTTAGAAGTCAATCAACACAAAAATTTCCATACATATATATTATTAAGCTTACTCGTTTCCCAGGCTAAACACGATATCCTTTTTTTTTCCTTTTATAAAAGAAACAAAGAAGCGGACAAGTTTTTGAGTACACCTTTCCCCATCCTGCCTTATACTTCCAATACAAAATTATGACCAAGCTAAATGTATTTTTCTTCGTACCCTTTCACAAAAAAAAAAAAAATCTCATAATGAACCGCGCGCACCTTTAAAAACTCAGACGACTTTTATCTTTTAACGAGAGACCATCTTCTAAAAAAAAAAACTTTGTTCCTGCCGCACCTTGTATTTGGATTATTTTTGGTAAGCTCATTCTTTTGTTTTATTTGTTATTTTATGTAATACCTATCATTATCGACAATAGTTGTCATTTCGAGGAATATGAAAGGAATTTCCAAAAAAAATTTCTTTTCTAAGCGTAACTTATTGCATCTATTACTTTCCACGAGACTATAAATACTTATATTCCATAACTAATTCCTTTTCCACTTCTTTTTCTAGAATTTTATTTTTAAATCGATAAGGATACCTGAAGGCGAACTTTTATTACGTATTCCGATACCAAGCTTCCTTCCTTTTTCTCACTATAGATAACAACTCATATTGACAAGACTAAAAAAAAAGTGCTGTATTAGTGATAAACCTTA